AAAAAAAAAAAAAAAGAAGCTGAGCCACTCATGGGCCCCTGAAATATATTTTTTTAATTCAGGAAAAATAGCCAAAATGTGGAAGGAGCCGAGATGTCCTTCAACAGATAAATATATAAAGAAGATGTGGTTCATATATACAATGGAATATTATTCAGCCATCAGAAAGGATGAATACCCACCATTTGCACTGACCTGGATGGAACTGGAGGGGATTATGCTAGGTGAATAAGTCAAGCAGACATAGATCATATGGTTTCACTCATATGTGCAACATAAGGAATAGCATGGAAGACATTAGGGGAAGGAAGGGAAAACTGAAGCGGGGGTGTGGGGAATAAGAGAGGGAGATACTAAGAGAGATTGTGGACTCCAAGAAACCATCTGAGGATTTTAGAAGGGGGGGGGTGGGAGGATGGGGTAGCCTGGTGATAGGTATTAAGGAGGGGATGTGTTGTGATGAGCACTGCATGTTAAATGCAAATAATGAATCATGGAACAATAAACTAATGATGTACTGTATGATGACTAACATAACATAATAAATATTTTATCAGTATGCTTCATGAGAAAAAAATATTTTTAAATTAATTAATTAATTAATTAAATATACCATGCACATCAATTCAGCACAGAAGGGGGAGATGTTAAATATGATTATTTGATCATCATTTTTTTAAAGATTTTTTACTTATTTATTTGACAAAGATCACAAGTAGGCAGAGGCAGGCAGAGGGAAAGGAGGAAGTAGACTCCCTGCAGAGCAGAAAGCCTGATGTGGGGCTCCATACCAGGACTCTGGGATCACGACCTGAGCCGAAGGCAGAGGCTTTAATCCACTGAGCCACCCAGGTGTCCCTGATCATCATTTTTCACATATATCCCAAGCGAGGCTCTCTAAGGAGCCTTACACTTCTGGACCCCTGGTTTCCTTCACCTCTGGCTTCCCCTTCTCTGTTCTCACAGTTTATATCCTTGATCATAAATAGAAACAGTCAAAAAGATAAAGCACATATTACACAAGTTCAAAGGCCCCAGATTCTTAACCTACCCCGGTACTAAAAGAACCTCTCGATAACTTTTCATTGCTTTAGGATCCCCAGACCACTCTCCTGTCCCCACACCACTGGAAGATCAAGATGATCTCATTATCAGAGGCAAATCTGGTTACATGACTACTTTCAAACAGCTTAAAACAGGTATAATTCCTCTCAGAAATCTCTCAAACAAGTATCAGGAGTTTATTACTTTTCATATATGCAAATAACTTGCACACCCTCTTGTATACTGCCCACTCAAACCACCACAGCTGTGATTTGGGGTCTCACTTCTACCACTCTTATCTGCCCATAATCTCTCCAAAGGAATCTCAGCTTTCCTTCTCTACTTTCTACTTTCCTTCTACTTTCCTTCTCAGCTCCTTCTCTTTTCCTAACACATTTTTCCTTTCCTGATTTGAACTCCACTTTTCCCTAGTAAAGAATTTTAACTCTTCTAGGTTTCTCCTTTTGCATCTTCACACTTTGCCTCCAAAAAACCCAACCAAGTTAAGCCCATTATGTAAGAGCAATATTCTCCTGAAAGGAAAGATAATGCTTGAAACAATTATCAGTAGCTGTTTTTAAAAACATATACATATTACATATCCTAATGTTAATATTTAATATATAATTTATATTTAAAAATATAATAAGATTATAATATATATAAGTTATTGTTCTTCTTACACAACAATATATAAAAGATATTGTATGTAATTGCAGGTGGTCACAGACCGCAACCCCAGGAATCTATAAATATCGTGGTGGCTCTGCCTCTCAGATTCAGATCAACTGCTCTAAAATATTTAAATCCTCAACACCTAAGGAGGCTTAAAGGAAGAAACCCAGTTCCAACAGGGAGTCAGAGCATGAGGAAGCAAAATAAAGACCAACGTGCCAGAGGTCTAGCAAGAAACAGGAAAATCAAAACCAGAGACAAAAAAAAAAAAAAAAAGTGGGAATTTCAGGGAAAACTGGATTCACAATCAAGACTCCACCTAGGAAGACATGAGTCCTAAGCAGGCAAGCTTGATTTCTGAAATCCTCTACATACAACAGTTTCTGATTTATAAAGGCACAATCCTGTTCCAGGCTCTCCTTATAAATAACCTCTCTGTTGTCAATGCAACAATTAAAAGTATGAATTGAGCAGTGGTTTCAGAGGGTGTTGGTAACCCTAACAGTGACCTGCAGCAGAGAATGGGTCAGAATGGAGGCAGAACTGTCATTCCAAAGATAGTCCTTACAGTCTTAAGAGAAAGAAGACAAAAGTGACAAGGGGAGCATGGACACCAACACCATCCTATTGTAGGGTCTGATACATAGAAGGTGGCCGATTTGACCCAGGGGAGATACAGTAACAGGAAACTGAGTAGCATACCTGCATACATATATGCCTTCCTCCAGACTGAAAGGGAACACATGCTGGTGAGACCTCAGTCAGAACAAGTCTGCTCAGCATTCATCTACTGACCCTTGCCTCCCCTCTGGGCTACAGGTGACACTAACTGCAGAGTGGGGAGAGGTTGGACAGGAAATGACCTCCTGCCAGGTGCTGACATACACTGTATAAAAAATTACAGGGTTAAAATATATAAAATTCCATAAGTATAAAAAATCATTACTATACCTGGTGATTTTGAACACAGAGATATTTGAGAAATAACCCAAAAGGAGAGATAATTTCATGCCGGGGTGTGAGGTGAACTCTGGGGAAACAGTGGTCAATCCTTCTCAGATAACACAACCACTGTTTGGGGGCATTGACAACTCATTCCACCCATTCTCACACATAGTCTGTCCAGTCCTCTACCCATCACTTTGTGATCACAACTTCCAGGAACTAGAGAAAACACACTCTCCCTGGTTGGTATTATGGAGCTAAGGTCACACTCCTATCCTTAGTGACCACGTTAATTTATATAGTTCTTTTCCTGAAATCTCAGAGAAGCTGGCTTTTGGATTCCAAGTGCTGACAGAACTAGTTGGACTGAAGGCAAAAGAGCTAGCAATATGGCACATAGGTCAGCATTGGAATAAACCCAAGATGCACGACAGACTCCAGGAACCACCATCACTCCCGGGTTCCCAAGAACTGGGTGGGAAACAGTGGCCTAGATTGGAGAAAGCTCAAGGAACAGAGTTTTTCCCTCCACCAGCTTGTTTCTGCCCCAGAGAAGGGTCCACATGTTTCTGCCTGAAACAAGGAGAGGGGACACCTTGACTTAGGTGGAACAAAAGACCCAAGGACACCTGGACAGTCACTTACCGGTCAGATAAACAGATTTCCTCCAGTCTGAAAGGCAACACAGGAAACAGGTGAGCTAAGAACCAGAATGTCTCCTTCAAAGAAGACACAGAAACTTCTAGAGAAAAAGCAGAACTTACTGAGATCTGCTTGGAGTTCATCTGAAAGAGAGTGAGAAATAAGCATGAAGCCCCATCTCTAAGAACAGCAAAGATTGCACCTGACAAACCCACAATTGCACATGTAAGTATCCTAAAAGTTATAGCTCCAGATCCAATGAGCCTCCACAGCTCCATGTCCTCTCTGGACCTCCTCAGCCACTTGACCCAGGGCAAGGGCCCTCTGTCCACTTTTCCTCTGCACCAGCTGCCACACTCACAGACTGTGGCCACTGCCCTGCCTTACCTCTGGCTTTCAATGCCTCCTCCTTTGCCCACTGGTCCTCCACTTTTTCCCTATGGAGTTTCTCCCATTCCTTCATCTCCTGGCACTTAGCAGTTTGTCCTCCCTTGGTGTAGTAGGCAGTCCCAAAGAATAAGAATATCAACAAGGTCAGGATCACCATGAAAGCTGACATCCAGAGAGAAGTCTGGGGAAAGAAGTCCTCTGTGACCAGCCATACACACAGTCAGGGGCACAGCCCAGTACAGTCCATGCAGCACACCCAGGGACTCCCAGTCCCTCCCTAAGACCCTACTGGGAGAGAGAAACAGCACGGACCTGGGAAAGAAATGACAATTGCTTTCTCTTGGCTCAGGATTGGGTTAAGAAGGGAGCAGGTCACATTCTCCGAAGAGCTATGTTTCACCACCAGCACAGCCTCCGCATTGAACAGCCCTTCAGCATTTTGGGTATGGGTCTCAGAGAATGTCAAAAACTTCTCTCCACTGAGGGCTCTCCACTGCACCTGGGAACCAACCTGGCACCTTACACAACACTCAGACCCCGTCCTCCTCTGGCCCTGCGATGTGCACTCGAGGGGCAGAGCCCACACCTGCAAGAAAGAAGCTGGAGAGTACAGGAAGTTCTCCCAGAGCCCAGGGAGGCAAGCAAAGCCTTCCTGTGCACACCTCCAGGGGCAGCATTGCACTCTGGGGGCTCCACTGGGGAGTGACCATGGCAGGGAGCAAAGCAAGGATCCTACCACAGAAAACAAAAAAGGAGGACCATGGGGACCTACAGTAGGCATAGAAGGCAGGACTCTTCTCCCCAAACATGAGGGTGGGAAGTCCATTGTCCAGAGTAACAGAAGGAGGAATTTGCCCTCAGATTCCATCTTTCTCTGCTCTTCTCACCTCACACACTCTCCAGGTCATCTGCACACCCACTGTCACTTGGTACATCACTTCACCTTCAATAAATCTAGCTACCTCCTGAGGAACCTCCCTAATATCCACATTCCTGAGGGTTACCTCTCCCTGAAATCCCTCAGATGCTTCAAACTCAAATCCTGAACAGGTTCATACTTGGTCCCATCTTTGATAGTCTGATCATGAAAACATTCCAATCCTTTAGCCTTCCTTACATCCAGCTCACCCTTGGCCACATACTGTTAGTGCCTTCACACAGTGCTTCTAGGCTCCATCATGTGACTCGACTCAGCCACTGAGAGTTCAGGGAATATGACTCCAGCAGTGGTTGGAAACTACTTTTGCCATTTGCCTTGCCCTCTCCCATGAAAAGGACATGCTCAGGCTAGCACTGCCTTTCTAGCTATAGTTGTCCTAGACCAGTCAAGAGCCAGCTAAACAACACCACGTGAGCAAACCCAGCCAAGGTCCACTGTCAGGACAAATAAAAATTAAGGCAAAGAGGCTAATTGTCGCTGTTGAAAATAAGGGAAGAGAGTCCCTTCCTTTTTTTTATTTTTTTTATCATTTATTGAGAAAATGTGTGACTGTGAGTGCTTTTTCTCCCCTTTGAAATGTACATAAGTCCATTGAAAAACACAGATAGGCCTTTTGCCAGCTTTGTGGTCCAGGGATGTCTTTCTCAAATATCTGGGAACCTTGTCTTTGAACGGCTCACTCAAGAAAGACAACACCCCTCTCTCATCCTTCCTGTGCCAGGGTATGGGTCTAACCTCTGTGGGCACTAGGATCATTGTATAAAACTGCTTCCTGTTATAAAAATGGGAGAATTTGTTTTTCTTCTGGATGAGGCCAACTACCTAACATAGATGGTCACCCTATTACTATGTAAATCTAGGGTGAACTATTTGTGACAGATGGTGCTGTCATATCCACTTACTTGAGAGCTAGTAACAACTATCCTGAGAAGATATGTGTAATGAGCTGTGTCTGCATGGCTATGATTTTCTTTGTCTTTGCATCTCTTCAAAGATTGAATATGATGCACATCACATTTTGGTAAATCTAATTTTAAAATAAAAAGGTTTTCTTTCCCACTATCTGTGTGAAGGAGATTTCTCAGAGATTTCCTTTTAATTATATTTCTCCAACATGACCAAAGATGTATGAGCAAACCCAGTTAAGATTAGCCGAATACTGCTACAAATGGCTAACAGACACATGAAAAAATGTTCAACATCACTAGCCATCATGGAAATAAATATCAAAACAACATTGAGGGGGAACTGGGTGGCTCACTCAGTTAAGCCTCCAACTTTGGCTCAGGTCATGATCTCAGGGTGCTGCATTGAGCCCTGCTCAGCAGGGAGTCTGCTTCCCCCATCTCTCTCTGCCTGCTGCTCTGTCTACCTGTGATCTCTCTCTCTCTCTTTCCAATAAATAAATAAAATCTTTAAAAAAACCACATTGAGATATTACATCAGTTAGAATGGCAAAGATTAACAAGGTAGTAAACGACAAATCTTGAGAGGATGTGGAGAAAGGGGAACCCTCTGACACTGTTGGTGGGAATGCAAGTTGGAGCAGCCACTTGGGAAAATAGTGTGCCAATTCCTCAAAAAATGAAAAATAGAGCTATCCTATCACCCCACAATTGCACTACTGGGTATGTACCCCAAAGATACAGATATAGTGAAATGAAGCCAATATTCATAGTAGAAATGTCCACAACAGCCAAACTGTGGAAGGAGCTGAGATGCCTTCAACAGATGAATGGATGAAGAAGAAGTGATTCATATATAAGTGGAATACTACTCAGCCATCAGAAAGTATGAATACTCACCATTTGCACTGACATGGTTGAAACTGGAGGAGATTATGCTAAGTGAAATAAGTCAAGAAAAGAAAGACAATTATATGGTTTCACTCATATGTGCAACATAAGGAATAGCATGGAAGACATTAGGGGAAGGAAGGGAAACCTGAAGGGGGGAAATCGGAGTTGGAGATGAACCATGAGAGACTATGGACTCTGGGAAACAATCTGAGGGTTTCAGAGGGGAGAGGGTGGGAGGATGGTTTAGCCCAGTGATGGGTATTATGGAGGGGATGTGTTGTGATAAGCACTGGGTGTTGTATACAAATAATAAATCACTGAACGTTACATCAAAAACTAATGAAGTACTATCCGTACTTGAGGAACTATAGAACACTCATGAAAGAAGTTGAAGAAGACACAAAAATGGGAAAAGCATTCTATGCCCATGGATTGGAAGAATAAACATTGTTAAAATGTTTATATTGCTTAGAGCAATCTATACTTTCAATGCCATTCCAATCAAAATTCCACTGGTATTTTTCAAAGAGCTGTAGCAAACAATCCTAAGATTTGTATGGAACCAGAAGAGACTCCGAATTGCTAAGGAAATGTTGAAAAAGAAAAACAAAACTGGGGGCATCATGTTGCCTGATTTCAAACTTTACTACAAAGCTGTGGTCACCAAAACAGCATGATACTGGCACAAAAACAGACACATAGACCAGTGGAACAGAGTAGAGACCCCAGATATAGACCCACAACCTTATGATTGACTAATCTTCGAGAAAACAGGAAAAATATACAGTGGAAAAAAGATAGTCTCTTCAATAAATGGTCCTGGGAAAATTGGACAGCTGGATGTAGAAGAATGAAACTCAACCATTCTCTTACACCATTCACAAAGATAAACTTGAAATGGATAAAAGACCTCAACGTGAGGCAGAAACCCATTAGATTCATAGAGGATAACATAGGCAGTAAACTCTTCGACATTGGCCACAGTAAATTCTTTCAAGATACGTCTCCGAAGGCAAAGGAAACAAAAGTGAAAATGAACTTTTGGGACTTCATCGAGATCAAAATCTTCTGCACAACAAAAGAAACAGTCAACAAAATGAGGAGGCAACCCAGGGAATGGTAGAGATATTCGCAAATGACAGTATAGACAAAAGGCTGATATCCAAGATCTATAAAGAACTCCTCAAACTCAACACACACAAAACAAATAATCATGTCAAAAAATGGTCAGAAGACATGAACAGACACTTGTCCAAGGGAGACATACAAATGGCTATAAGACACATGAAAAAATGTTCATCATCATTAGCTATCAGGGAAATTCAAATCAAAACCACATTGAGATACCACCTTACATCAGTTAGAATGGACAAAATTAATAAAACAATAACCAAAAACTGTTGGAGAAGATGTGGAGACAGGGGAACCCTCTGACATCGTTGGTGGAAATGTAAGTTGGTGCAGCCACCTTGGAAAACAGTGTGGAGATTCCTTAGGAAATTAAAAATAGAGCTACACTATGACCCTGCAATTGCATTACTGGGTATTTACCCCAAAGATACAGATGTAGTGAAAAGAAGGGCCATTTGTTCCCCAATGTTCATAGTAGCAATAGCCACAGTCACCAAACTGTAGAGAGAAACAAGATGCCCTTCAATAGATGAATGGATAAAGATGTGGTCCATATACACAATGGAGTATTATGCCTCCATCAGAAATATGAATGTCCAACTTTTGTATCAGCATGGCCTGGAAGAGATTATACTGAGTGAAATAAGTCAAGCAGAGAGAACCAATTATCATATGGTTTCACTTACTTGTGGGGCATAAGGAATAACACAGAGGACATTGGGAGTTTGAGAGGAGAAGTGAGTTGGGGGAAAACGGAGGGGGAGATGAACCATGAGAGACTGTGGACTCTGAGGAAAAAACTAAGGGTTTTGGAGGGGAGGAGGATGGGGGATTAGGTGACCCTGCTGTTGGATGTTATGGAGGGCACGTGGAACACTGGGTGTGGTGCATAAACAATGAATCTTGGAACACTGAAAAAAATTTTTTTAATTTAAAAGAAAATGATTGTGTGTTGAAAAATGTTAACATTTTGGATATATTGGGTTAAATAAAATATTGCATTTTTTAAAAACTAATGATGTACTATATGGTAACTAACATAACATAATAAAAAAAGAGCAGCCAACTACATGAGCACTGGGTGTTATATGCAGCTGATGACTTATTGAACTCTACATCTGCAATTAATGATGTAGCATATGTTGGCTAACTGAATTTAAATTTAAAAAAATATATAAAACTGGAAAATGAAGAGAAAAAGAAGAAGCCAAACACAGCCTAGACTAGCTAAATTCACTTAATGCCCAAGTTAAATAAATAGCTATCTGCCACTGAGAGCTCTGCACTTTGTGTTACACAGCATCACGACAATTAGGAAATAACTTATAATTATCAATATTTCTACTACAGTTAAACAATTGGCAAAAGAGAAACCCTAGGATTCTCTGTAGTCCCCTTTCCCCCCTTCACCTATCACCAAATCTACTGACTCATTTGTGTCTCGTTTCCAAACCACTCTGAAGCCAAATATCTCCCACCCCAGAGCCCCCACATGAAATCAGACAGCCAACCTTCCTCTGTGTAACTACGTTCATGCCTTCAGTCTCCTCACCTTCCATCTATCCTCCCTCACACAGTCAAAGCAAACCTCCACCCTACATCATTCTGTTCAAAATTTCCTCATCTCTACATTCAAACTCTGTTACACAGCACAAAAAGCCTTCTATACTCTCACATATGTCTCTCCCCCACTAAACAGCTGTCCATTTCTCCCCAGTTTCCACTCCTGCACTCCCCTGGGAACACACACTCCAGCCCTAGGACTATATGGTTAACTCTTCATAACCACAACCACCACGCTCTCTGTGCCCCTCATAGTCCAGACCACAAACCAGAAAGGCCCTTTGGAAGAGACTGGTGATCCCAAGTACCTTCTCAAGTATGTGCTGCTCATGAAAGTTTCCTGATCAGTCTCTTCTTTGTGCACCTGGTCCAGAAACACCTGTTTATGCCAGGATTCTCACTTCTCCCCACCCCACTATTCACCTCTCACTAACCATGTGGCCTCCTTGTGTGCCCAACACACCTGCCACATGCCTAACTCGGTTATATCACATAGCTGTTCTTATGCTTGGAACTCTCACCCCCAGATATCCACTTCTCCAAATGCCTACTCACGACTACCTAACACCCTCTATAACCCAACTGTTTACACTTTTATTGCTTTTAGAAAATAAACTCTACAGAGCAAGGATCATGGTTTGGTTCAGTAATGCCCCCAGGTACCCAGAAAGGGAGCTGACACTTCATGGGGATTCTATATGCACAATGAATTAATGAATAAGTGAAGACACCTCCTTTCCTTCAGCTGTAAAATGAGGGACTGATTTAGTTGGCCCCAAGTTTGTTCCCAGCTCCAATACTACAGCACACTAAATATAGATCAATGACCCACCTGCCCCCTTCAGTTCCAAACTGGCAGATTCACAGAAGCTTCCCTTTCTGAAGAAGCAGGTATATAGCCCGTTGTCGAAAGCCTGAACCTTGTGGATGTGCAGGATGGTCTCTCCCCAGGTGAGGAATTCCTTCACCAGTGAAGTCCGCCCTGTGTACTGGGCCCAACTGCACCTCTCTCTGCTCCCACTGGTTTTGATAGATGAACACTGCTTCTGAGAAATTTGAGCGGAACCACCACAGCTCCATGTTCTCCACATTCATGGCCAGGAACACATGACATGGCAGCATTATGACCCCACCCAGCACTGCCACAGTGGGTTTCTGAGGAGCCAATCAACACGAACTCCTCTGTGGACACAGACATAAGGGTGAGAAAGCAAGAGAGATGCAGGACAGGGAAGGGAACACACTGTCAGGTGGGAGGTCCAGAAAAGTGGGGGTAAGAGTCAGTTAGGAGGTCTTGACCTCAAGGACTCAGCTTTTACCACTTTGTACCTGGGCAAGATCCTCTTACCACATACTTGAGACCCAGCAATGATGTCAAAGAGACTCCCACAGCAGCCCGTGCTCCTGACTCCAGGCCCTTCCATGAAGGACTCTCTAACTCAGTGGTTCCTACTTTCCACAGGCATCAGAATCACCAGGAAGTCTTGCGAAACACAGACGGCTGGGCTCCACCCCCAGAGCTCTTGGTTCAGTAGTTTTGGGGTGGGTCTAAGAATGTGTATTTCTAAGGGGGTGGTGGGGACTCTGTTACTAATGCTCCAGGGACCACACTCAGATCCACAGCTCTAACCTGCCTCGTCTTGGGACAGGACTGAAAACTGACCACAAAACACCTGTGGCCTAGGTGGGAACTCTCTGCTCATTCAGCCAACTCAGGAACTTACCCACACCTACTCCTAAGTTAGATATTTATCCCCATATCTTAGTACTCTGGTGGATTACATTTGCACTAAACCTAGAGTCCACAGCTATTTCTGTTAAAGCCTGTTCCCACTCCATCACCTATAGGATGCAAATCACGACTTCTTACAACAAAAGGTTCACTTCACTTCACTGCTGCCACCCCCGCAGTCTCTGGTCTTCTGAGAACTGATGGACATGTCATGACAGGACACTTCTCCAAGAAGCACCCATGCTGGATCTCAGAAGAGTGACTTCTCACCTCTTGTGCTACTCAAATTTGGCTGACTCACTATATGTCTCACTCAGATGAGAGTGACTACACTCCCTGTGACTATTCTCTCCTATGTGCATGACTCTTTCAATCCACAAGCAAAACCATGTCCCTCCTCTGCTCAAAGCCCTGCAATGGCTCCACAGTTCCCCACATGGCCCATAGGCCCTATAGGGATGACCTGCCACTGCTCTCTGACCCCCCAACCCCTGCTTCTCTCCCTTTCCGTCACTCTGCTACAGCCAACACTTATTTCCTTGGCTTCCTGAACAAAGAAGAACACTTCCAGCTTTGCTCTGTTTGCTCTGCATGATAGAATCCCTCAATCCTGGGGGATCCTCACAGGATGACACACTGCCTCCACCATGCTTCATTCCCATCTCACTACCTGCCTGTCCAGCCCTTTGGAAATGTTCCCAGCCTGCTCTGCCCACAGGACCAGACCTTTGCTGCCTCAGCACAGGGGTCTCCTCCATGTCTGCATGAGTCACAGGCGACCACAGATGCCCAGAGACACAGGGCATAGACTCAGGTCCCTCTCCATGAAGAACACAACAAGCTCCTCTTTGCTGTTCTTCTGCTGCCCCCTAATTATAACCAGGGAATGACTGAGAAGCATGAGAGTCAGACTGCATCCTCCTCAAGGACACTGTGGCTCCCACCACACGCACATTGTCCTGGGGTCCTTTGCTTGTTCAGTTCACCTGAACTTCAGTCCCATCCCCCCACCCAGCCCTTTGCTTCTCAGGACAAGGCCCTGGCCATTCACACAGCCAATGCTCAGTCAATTTTCCATGATGGGTCCACAAAAGTCATCCTCTCTATCCTTGAGGTGCTTCTGCCTCAGGATAAAGGATCCCAGCAGGGCAGGAGCAGCAGAGGGTAAAATGAGCCCCGCTCAGAAAGAAGGGCTTCACACCACTTATATATGGGAGGCAGTCAGTGGTCTTAAAGGACAGATTCTGGACTGCTGACATCTCCTCCACTCACAGACACTTTCTGTGTGACTTTCTTTAACAAGTTTCTTCATCTGCTGTGCCTCATCTGCAAAATGGGGATAGTAAGAGTATAAGGTATACCCCAAGGTATAAGCAGAATCCTCTCAATATGTATATGCATCCTATGAAATTATGTCATTAGAACAGTACCTGGTCCTGGGAATGCTACAGAAATGTCATTAAATAAATAAGTCAAATGCTGCCCCCATTATTATCTAGCACCTCCACCTCTAACCCTACCATGATCTCAGCCTCCTCCCCATAGCCAACAGCTCTGAGCTTTACTCTTGTTGCCAAACAAGTATCTTCAGAACCAACTCACCTGCTTGAAAACCAGGGACTTCATAAGCATCTCTAACTCAACAGTGCAAGATCTCAGTTGACCCCAAATCTGCTCTCAGATTGCCTCAGCAGTTTGCTGCTCTGAGCCCCACACCCTGCTTCCAGGTCCAATATGGGTGATGCTGGCTTCTCTTGTCTGAGAGGTAGTGGTTCCCGGATGAGTGGAGAAGGAGAGCCTGGCACAAGTTGCAGGGGTCTCTCCTGAAACAGGGAACTGGGGCACTAAGCACTTCCAGATAGGAGAATCTGCCCTGCAGACTCTGCCCTGCCCTCTGGATGGTGCACCCTAGTTATCAGGAAGGAAACAGCATAATCAGAGCCACAGAAACAGGACAAGCACAGTTACACTGACCCATTCTGCAGGAGGACACACAGAGACACAGACTTAGCAACCATTTATTGGACAACTACTACTCTCCTGGTCACCTAACTGTTCACTACTAAGATGACACCATGTCTGTGGGTGTATCATGGATCCACCAGTGTAGCTGTTTTGCCTTTCTTCACCAGGAGACCACCCACATCATCCCACGACCTGGCAATAGGCAATTTAGTATTGGGCATTAGCATCATTCAGGAAACTGTCCCTGCAGAAGTAAATGCACAGTGCTCTGTGGCTGCTTAATACTGTATTATCACACAGCCCCTCCCTGCCAGGTCACATTCTGCACCAGGAAATGTGGATTCTCTGGCCTCTGAAGAAAAACCATGGAGCACTAGGGCTTCTTCTCCAGCCCCTCGCTTGCTGCACTTCCTCATCTCAGTAAAGGACAACTGGCTTCACCCAGTTATGTCTGCCAGAAACTTGAAGCACATTCCTGACACTCCACGTTCTTAGTCTACTTCCAACATACTAGAAAGTTCAAGAGTTTCTCAAATTCATATTCACTGCCAGCACCTACCTACAACACTCTTATGTCCTCCCTGATCCAAACTGGGGGTCTCTGTTTCCTGATGAGTATCCCTACCACCTCCAGCCTTACCTCCTCAAGCTCATTTTCTTTTCTTTTCTTTTTTTTTTTTAATGAAGGCCCGTAGCGTGTGCTTTCACCAATGTCACAGATTTGATATATTCCAAGGCTTGTACAACCATTATCTTAACTTCGGTTTACAACATTTTCATCACAACCAAAATCAATTCCTGTACCCATTAGTAGTCATTTCCTATTCTCACCCCTGTCCCCATCCTCTCCTAGGGAACTAAGCAATCGGGAATTTACTCACATTCATTTTCACTCCAAGGTCATGATCCTCTCAAGTCAGCTTATGTTAGGTCTCCTCATCCCTTCAAGGGATCCCCTGCTAATGAGATGAGAGAGATCCCCCTCTCATCTATGGCTTTCAGGTCCTGTCTTTGTCTCTGACATCATCCATCACTTACCCAGTTGGTTGCTCACTAGCCTGGGTGAGTTCCTCCAGTTCATGGAGCTTCCCCAGCCTCAGGCCTTCTCACAAGCCACTGAATGTTTCTCTCTCTCTCTCGCTCTCTCTCTCTCTCATCCCTCAAACTGGTTACCATTGCAATCTTGCCTGATGTTATCTGTCTCAGTGGGGCCTTCACCAACCTGCTCATCCCCACATGTGCCCCATACATGTGTGTGTTGGGGGTTTAGTGGCCCTCTGTTCTCCTCCACAGCCCTGACATGTGTTCTTCTGTGAACTGTTTGTGGCATCCACAAAGGGAGGCACTGTGTGCCCTGGTCATGTGTCTAGCACACAGCACTCAGGAAACTGCTTGGGCTCATGTGCAGAGGAGTCATTTCAGCAGCACATTGGCTACCCAGCC